TGGATATATAAACACACGAAGCAGCTATATGATGTGTCTGATTCCTTCCCAACATGCAGAAACTGCTGCTGTGTGCCCTGGGATTTACTGGCAGTGCTGCCCATGCATCTCATTGCTGGTGTCTGGGGCTGTCTGTGCTGTGGTGACTAATGTGGTTTGCTCAAGTTGGTTCAAACACTGGTCTTAGTCAAATAATGCAACAGAAAGCAGCTAATTCAGTCATTGAACTTTGTAGCCCACAAGAAATTCCAGGGTGCTGGCCCATTTCGGTTGCTGCTTGCAGCTGGAGCTGCTATTTTTAAGTTGGCTTTTATGAGGGACCCTGTGTGTCTTTGTATATCAGTTTCTGAGCAGAGATATTGAAGTGTATGAGTTTAGACACTATCAGCCTCTGTCTTGAATTTTTTGTTCAGCTTGAATGGTTTCCCAGAGTAAAATGTAAAAAGAAGATCTTGCTCTTAACTCCATCTGGAATTGCTGTTCTTCCCAGAAAAGCCAAGTGAGGGTGTGTTACTCACTGTGGAATTACTGATTTTGCACTAGGCTAAAGAGCTGCCAATTCCTAAAGCACTTAAGTTGTATCTCTGCTTGGGTAGTCTGATCTTCAGCTGGTGGAAGGACCAGCAGATACATAGACCTCTTCCAGCTTTCCCTTGCTTTCCAATACCGAGACTATAATTCTTTCAAAAAGGGAACCTGTGAGCAGCGCCTAAGTAGTAGCCATAGTGCTGTGTTTGAAACCTTCTGTCTCTGGGTCTGTGTGCTGATGATACGGCCTTAATTGCTTTTTGCAGTGAGTTTGGGTGTTTGTCTTTGGAAACTGTGTTGCTTCTTCATTAATTGATGGACATTTAGACTGGCACTTTTCCTACTAGCACAGTGCTTATGATAGAAATTCTCAAAGAACCTTGCTTTAACCTCCCAGACACTTTGTACTTCTTCATGGCTTTATATCCATGTAGGAATGAATTTGCCAAGACAAATGAATGCAGTTATTGACTGAAGCAGCTGTTACCTGCCGCTATTGAACAGTTAGGAGAGGGTTAAGAAGAAAACCTCCTCTGTGCCACTAGATTGGCCCTGACTAAGATGAATGTCTAATTCACTCCCAGCGTCCTTACTGCTGCCTGTAATAAAAAGCTTGCTTCACATATTCACCCCACTGCAGACGTTTCTCTTAAATTAAATATCAAGAGGACATATAATAGCACGATTCCACGCCAAGCCAATATTATCAGATTGATGTCAGCAGTGATAATAGAAGAAGGATAAGTTGATGAGATTTCATTTATTAAATAAAGTAAAGGGAATATGTAGTGATAGAAAGGATTTGGTAACTCTCGGTGTCAAAATGCAGCAAGATCGTGCTCATTCTGTCTTACCTCAAGGGATAGCAGAGAGAAGGATGCCCTTTGTTTCATTTTAAGAAAACCTCTCCCTTCTTTTCTGGGCAAAGTCCTGATTTAAAGCTCTCCATGGGAGGTGGAGAGGAAGTTCTGAAATCATGGATTTCATGTGTATGTAGCCTGCCTGCCCATTGCACAGTGGCAAGGCAAAGGTTTCTTTCCTCTCTGTGATAGGGGACGCACTGCTAATGAATTTTATTTCTAAATCCATCTTTTCCTTTTTCCGACCTGTCATCCCTTTTCCTTTCCTTCTCCTTTAACAGATGAGAGTGTGTGTTATTGATTTAATCTTTCATATTCTGTAAGTCCTGCATGTATTTATTTCCAAGGTATTGTCAGAGCTTGTCTTCCATACTTCTGTCTGCAGATATTGTGCAGATATCACTTTCCAGCCCAGGCTTTCTCTCCTGCCTTTCTTTTAGCTGCTGTAAATGAGCCTCTTACACCTGTTTTGATAATAGTTGTAGCAGTTGCAGTGTATTTTATTTTAGACAGAGGCCAACTGTCTACCTCATTTGGTGGTCACATATGCTTTAAACTTTGTCCCACTTTAGGAGAAGGGTCAAAGCATAGGAGTCTTCTGCTTCAACAGTTCTAGTTGTATATACAAACCTCATCCCTTTTCCACCGTTTTCCTTCTCTCTCATATGAGAAATAATGGTAAAAACCCTCAGTGACACATCAGGAGCAGTGCGGTTGGGTGTCCAGAAGATGAATTTTTCTAAAGATTAGTTAGTGCCAACAGCCTTGATCTAGGCTGAGGGTGAAGGGAGATAGCTGATGAAAGTCCGCCTCCTTTGGAGCTCAACCCACAATGTCATTGTATTCTACAGATGTGTTTGTAGTTGGAGGCTGTGGGTTTAATTCCTTTTTGTCTCAGATGTGTATGAGGAAAGCCTGTAAGGTGCAGCTGTTGTATGTGTATAGGGCTGCAGTTCCCGGCTGTGGAAATGTTACAGCTGAGACTTAATGTGAGCAGGAGAGTGGCATCCCTTGATTCAGACTGGGCAGGCATTATGATTACTGTGCAGGGAAGAAAGCATCTCAAGCAACTGTTCACCAGAGCACTTCAGGTACCTCTTTCCAGTCCAGATGGGTACCAGAACCAATCTGCTGGGTGTGGATAACTTGTGTGCTCCCAGATTCTGCAGTAACTTGTATTGATAATTACCTAAACCAGCTTTGTAATTTGTTGATTAGTGTCTCTAAATCTATTTTGAGATGCTGGTGCAATTGATGCATAACCACAGCTTGAGGTTTTATTTTGAAGAAATAAAGGAGAATAATCTTGTTATGATTTTGGGTATACGTTACCAAATAAATCCTCCCTGTGTTGTGGGAAGTGGTGTGTAGGGAATGCTGGTTTAAGTACTTGCTGGGAAATGCATACTGGTTTGTGCTGATTGGTCCCCTGCCTCTGGTAGGCTTTAGGTAACAATACTCTTTTTTGTGGCTTCTTGCTCACCACTGTGTGGCTTTTAAATAGCCCTGTGGGCTGAGCACCAAGGGGTCTGTTAAGGAAGAGGACTGCAGACTTTGCAGCACTGTGTGAGCCCACAGGTGGGTCCTAACTTCATATTTATTCTAGGCAGTGAATTCTAGGCAGATGCCATAGGAAAGACACAAAAAACACAATTCCTGTAGCTCTCCCTGCTGACAGTGACAACCTCTAAATATTTCTGAGATGTTTGTACCATGTTGTTCAGTTTAGATGAATACAAACTGGTTTGTGGTATGCTGTACCTTTTAGCTCTTCCAGGTTTCTATATGAAAATTGCAAAATGCCCTTCAGTTTAACATCACTGAGTTTAAAAGAACTAATTTTAAAAGTCTTAACTTTTTCAATGAATTGAGGGATTTGGTGGTATTTCCTGACCTGGTATTGTTTGTTATCATTTCCACAGTCTCACTGATTTGATTAGAGTGATATTAAAGTTAGTGACAAAGCAAAATGCCAACATTATGAGTTTCTGAAGCTCTCTCTGGGTTCTTTTCTATCCCAAAATTTGAAGATTTTTTTTTTTAGAATATGGATTTTCAAGGCTTTAAAGGTGATTTTCTATATAACATAGAAATTAGAAATGAACACCAGCCCTTAGGGACTGTACATGGAATAAGTTTCTTCTAAAAGCTGTAAGATTAGTGAAGAGATAGAAAAAGAAGTCTATATAGTATCTTTGTTTCTGATCCAAATCTCAGTGTTGTAGAATGTGGCTGTCATACTGATAAGTCCCTACTCTGTCCATGTATGTTGTCAGTAAGACTGAGGACTGAAGAAGTATCAATTAGAGTATATCTCAACCAAATTATTGTGAGAGTGCATCCAGGTTGCTGATAAGGAAAAGACAAAATTTTTCTTCTTTTGGTCCTTCCACTTCTTTCCTGAGCACCTTACACAGATGTGCATGATTTGGAAACTCATATCTGAGCTCTCCAAAAGCTTTCAGAAGATCTTGGTTTAAGATTTCCTGTTTCTTAGAAATCTGTTCCACCTGAGAGACTGTGACATGCCTAGGGACAGGTCATATTTTCCCTCTCTCTGCCTTGCTGTGAAGCCCTTTTGCTGAATGAGTGCCTGTTGTTACTGTGGAAATGAATACATCATAGCATGGCATTAATATCTGCCTGTAGCATCAAGTGCTTTGGAAAGGAAGAGGTGTGTTTGATATTTGGGCACAGATTTCTAAGCATATTGGGGCAGGAAATGCAAGGAATTAAATGGATTTGTGGTTTAGGAGATGACATCTGAGGATTACTACACCTAAGCATATGGTCTCTTTTTCTGTGGTAAAATGTACCATGGCCATGGTGCTGCAAATGCCTGCAATTTGTGTCTGCCTGTCTGTGCAGCTGATGTCACTGTTGTTACTGTGTTTGTGCCATTGTTACTGGGATTGTTTTACAACGACCTTCCCCTTTATTGGTACTGTTGCTGATGATGTGCCATATGTACACATGCACATTAGAGTAAAAGAACATCATCCTTAATTGTTCTTGGGTAACTGTCAATGCCATTTGCAGGGTATGAGTACTAATTTCTGCAGAAATACAAAGAAACAGATATCTGGTCTTGCTATTATTCTGATTTTTTTTCTAGTCACTTGGAGAATTGCAGTGCTTCCAACCATGCTGGATTTCTTGTAGTGTTTAAATAGATGAGAATTCAATAGATCGAGGTGGCTTATTCAACAAGTCTGTTCAGTTCCTTGTCAGACTGTTACAGATCTAGTGCAGGCTCAGCCAGGATTCTTGAGGTCTGCCAGAGATTTCCAGTGTGAGTTGAGAAAATCATTGAAATTCTTGGACTTGGGGATTTTTTTCCCTCCTGCCTGCAGAGGAGAGATGATGTTTTATGTAAGGTTGAAACAGCCTTCTACACTAGCTAAGAAAGATCATGTTCCTTCTTTCTGATAAGCACCCTGGATTTTTCAGCTGAAAGACACTGTTGTTCATTTGACCCGCTTTCTCCCACCAACTTCTCTATTCAGACTACATGACTCCAGCATAAAATTAGTATGTGTGTTGCTGGCAAAGTGGTAGTAAGTGGTTGAAAACTCCTCTTGATGCATCGTTCTGTGCTTGTTTTCCCTGCAGGAGGAGGAACGCTGATCCTGTCTGTTCAAACTTGCAGTCTGAAATTCTGAAGTGCTACCGAGAAAACAAACATGAAGTACTCAAATGCTCGGAGCTGGCGAAGGAATATCAGCGCTGTGTTAGTGCAGCTCAGAAGGTAACAAAAGCTTCTCTGTTGTACTGGCTGGCCTTGCTGTCTTGTTTTGCATTTTTTGAGAGCTGTGGTATCTGTTAGTCAAATTGCAATCTTCATAGGAGACAAATCTTCCTTGGGATCCATTTCCCCACATTCATTCCACATTTCCCAGTCACACTGTGGTATGTCCCAGCTTCATTCCTGTCAGTGGGTCCTGTTGTACTGAGCTGACACCAAAACAGTAGAACCAATGCTCCCAGGTTTCAAAGTCAATCAATGATTTTACCTACTTTTACCTTCTTGGATGTTGTATACTGCAAACAGTAAGTAAATCCATTTTGGCACAGTCTGCAACATTTTCAACAGGCTCTACACATCTCCTTTTGTGGGACCTTGCAGCTGGAGGTCTTGCTTCTGTTCATTGCTGCATGGGGAAATGTTCTGTATTGGGCAAAGCTGCTGTCTGTTAAGAAAATTCCACACTCCTAAAAACTCTTCATCTTGTGTGGGAGGCCAGAAGCCTTATGGCTCTTCCTTCTGAGATGCAGAGTCCCAGTAGGTTCTGTTGATGCCTTAGGACAGTGGCTGCTCAGTACCTTGGAAGAATTTCTGGCTATTGAAACAAGTGAAGGGGAAAAGAAAATGAAGTATTAGGACATCACAACTAGGGTATGGTCCTGGGACATGTGAGAATTCAGTGGGTCAGGTGTCCCTCAAAGGCAGACTTTTCTGTTTTGTTTTTTGGGTTTTTTTGACAGTAGAAATTTCTCCAAAAGGTGCTGAGAATATAATAAAGTGTATGTAGGGAAAAGGATGGTAATAGAAAATTGAGACTTCTCTCATGGGATTACTAAGGCAAAGGGTGGGGGAGAGGTGGATATTTCATGGAAGCAATCTTTCTCTCCATTAGCATTGTGAGGGGAAGCGGTATGCCTGATTTAAGTATAACATGAAACAAGCTGCCAGCCAGCTCCCTGAAGAAGCCCGACAGAAGGAGATGGGAAAATTGTCAGGATATATTAGACCAAATGTTGTTGCTAGTCCTAGTGGAATTTTTTTCCTTCCTGTTTACAAAGAAGGTCTTTGTATGTCTGCAAATCAGCAAGGTTAAAGCTGCCAAGGAAAGGGCTTTTCTCTGATATCTCCAAAGTCCCCAGCTCCCAAAACATGTGGTTTCTTTTTCTTCCTCAGCTTTAAAGTAAAGTGGTGCCTGTGCTGCTGCTGCACAATCCGTGCCCCTGGTTGCTGTGTGCAGAGCATTGGTGCATCTATTGCCAGCCTCTGTTATCCTTCTTGCTTCCTCTAAATCAGGCTTGTAGCCTTTTCAGTGGAGTATATCTTTAGCAAATGCATTTACCAATACATCTTTATTGCATGCAGTGCGGGCGGAATGTGATTACCAAAGAAGACAGATTGCATTAAACTTCAGCGTATTTGCAAGCTGCGGCTCCAACCCGCCTGAGAAAGGGGCTGGGATGCTGCCAGCCCCGAGCCCCAGCCCAACATTATTAAAGAGTAGATCGGAAGCTAAATGACTGGTAACAGCAGAGGGCAGTGAAAGATCCTAATAACTTGGATCTTTTTTGGATTTGGTGGAGGTTTTGGTAGGTTTTCTTTATAAACCAAAAACTGGGGGTTGTCTGGTTGTCTTTGTTCCCACAGTCTTCAATGAACTTCAGATTTTTTTTTTTTCCCCACTATTATTCGAAACTACCTGGAAGCAAAGTGCATTGGACATTAATTTGTTGTGGACGATGACAGTGTGGCAGAAAATCTTGCTATGTTTTAAGAAAGGGCTTGAGAGACTAAGGAATAGGTAACCAACACCTTACAGCTAGGATAGGCACTAGAGGGTTCTGCAAGTACAAATTCAAATACAACTTCTGTAAGGCAATATGTGTTCTGTCATTTCCTTTTGTCCCAGGACAGCTGAAGCCCTGACGATTTGCCTCACTGCTCTTACTGACTCTTGTGACTCCTGAGATATCTGTAGCAATCACAAGCTGTTGTTTTATCATGTAGGATTAAAACTCCCTCCTCCCTTCCCCTTTTTAAGCTGTTATTTTTCTTTAAGTTTAAATTAGCATCTTATACCAAATGGCTTTGTCTCACGCATTCCTCGTTCAGGAAATTCAGGTTGGAGGAATGTGGGAAAGAAAGGCCAGAATATCTTAATTTCTTGGGTATTTTTTACCTTTTTTTTTTTAAGCACAATTTGTTTCCAGTGCAGGAGGAAATGTAATCAATGCTGGATGTGTGACTTCAGCTCACTTGCATAGTGGTGATTTGTTCTGCTTTTTACTACAGATTTTATAAAGCTTGCTGAATATTCTTTAATGAAGCATCTGGTTCTCTGCAAGTTCCTTTTGATGGCTGGTAAAAATGTCTCCAGGGCATGGTATACATTAGACTCAGAGAAAGCAAGTTCTAGATTTCTAGAAAATTACAGCTTACAGTGGATGAGAATAATTCTTGGTCTCTTCCCCCTTACTGTGTTTGTTTGAGACTGTTCCTTTGGACACCCATTTTCCTTTGCCTGTTGTGCACATTTCTGAGCCAGGAGGTGAGATACACCCTCAGTTATTTCTGCCCCATTAACAAATTTATCAGTGAGTTTTAAAATGTATTTTCTAATGGTTTCCTGTACAGCCCCTCTTCCTGGAACAGGTTACTTTATTGTAGTGCAGGGTAGAGATACAGCTATTGTTACCTGTTTTGTTTATTTTCTGGCTATTGGGCTATCTCTTGTAGTCAACAGAGAGAAATAGGCATATGTAGAGTAAGATGCATCTGATTCTAAAAAGTCATCTGAAGCAGGCCAGCTGACTTGCCAGCCAGAGATCAGTATTTCCCTGTGCCTCTTGTGAGGCATATCCAGAGCGTAGACTACGAAGTTGGTGCCTGTTCTGGGATTGCTCATGGTTATGGGAGCAGGATCCTGCTCTGGCTGTCTGCCTTTGTAGCCAGTATGCTTTCAACTTGCCCTGCCTAACCTGCTCATGAGCTTTTCCATTTATACCACCCTGAATGTTGAGTTCTGGTCGTGTCACCATTCATTCAGTGCAGCAGCATTAGCCCCTTTAGGCACTGGGTTCCTTGCTGCATCCCATGCTTTGCTTATGTGGAAGTTCTCTGACTTTAGAGGGTGTTTAATTTAGGAGTGTTTTATCTTTTCTGGTGGTCTGTTTCCATGGCTCTGCAGAACTTGAGCTACAGCATAAAAATCGCTGGCTTTAAATCTAATAAAAGCTGGGATAATGGGACAGCTGTAGGAGGGGCAGTTCCCATTGTGTCTTTCAAAATTGCCTGTAGTTTATTGACCGCAAGTTTCACCAAGAACTACTGCTGCCGTTAGATAATGAGAATTGAAAATTGCTGCTGCTGTTTCCCCAAGGTTTTATCTTGTGCCAGTGAGAAGGGGGTGTGGAAGGAAAGAGTGGGCAGTGGAAATCTGCATATTTTCTTAGTTTTGGTCTAGTTGGAAGGGGAAACCAAATGATTTTGTTTTTAAAAGTCTGAGTCCTATTAGTGAATTACTTCCCTCCCCCGTGCAAATATGCACTCACATGCAAACTTTTCAGAGTGTTTCTCTGAAACAGCAGACCCATTCTGCTGCCCTTGCATTCTGTTCACACCAATAGGCAAATCTGAATTGAAGGCAAATTTTAGTTACTCTGTTACATAATTGGTGGTTATACCAGGGAATCTCCGACCAGCTGCCACTTGGAAAATGAGGCCTCAGGTGATCATGAGCTGAGATTTCAAACAGAGCATGCTTTCTGCAATTGTGTGCAGAGAAATGTCTGTTAGTAAAGAGCATGTATCCCTTCTTTTCAGGGGTTTCCTTACTGTCTCCAGGTGCCTTTCACTGAAGGACCAGGGTGAAATTGTCGTGCACTAGCTCATGGCCAAACCAAGCTGTCAGGAGCCATGTACTCAGACGTGTATTCCCTTGTCAGTAGGAGCTGTATACATTGAGCTAGGAGCCATTCATAATCCTGCACTCTTCCTCCCTGCTCTGTGTCCAGCTTCTCACAAATCTGCTATTCATAACAGACAAAGGTAAACCTACTTCTGTCAAGGCTTTAGGGCTTGTCTATGTAAGGAAATTACGATGCAATAAACTGGAGAGTTTCTCTGTATATGAATGTTTGGGGTTTGTAATGAAAGTGCAGGGGAAATCCACACACATTTGCTGTGAGTCACTCTGCTGTGTGCAAACAAGCCCTTGCTAACTACTGATTGACTGAATTCCAGTGAAGGCAGACTTTTAACATAACCTTGAGTCGTCTGAATTCTGCTTTGCCCTTGACTGTAATAAAAAGGAATGTGGTCAATTTATTGCGTTTACATTTCCAAGTAATCTCTGTGAAAACCCAGGTCTCTTTTGGCACACAAAGCAAAGCATTACAACTCTGCTGGAAGTTTGTCTCTAATCTGTGGGCAGGGACTTGGATTGCTGAGAGGATGCTGCAGGTATTTCTGCAGTGTCCCATCCTGATGGAGCAGTTTTGCTCAAGCACTCTTGATCCTGCTGAAGCCTGGCCTGCTGAGAGCTTTCATTTCTGCAACTTGGATCTCTCTCTGCTTAAGAGAAACAGACTTGGATGCCATCAGGTATTTGATCATTCTGGATCATCAGGCTTTGGTAAAGCATTGTTTCCATTCTGGTGGGTTTCACAGTACTTTATAGATAGGTTGTGTACTTATCAGGATAGAGAGGAGCAGTCAGTGTGTGTTTTCCTGGAGAAAGGAAGTTTGGACCAGGTATAGCAAGGTCTGTATCTGTACTCAAGAAATGCCAGTATTTCTCCTCCCCCTGGGATTCTGCAAAGGTAAATCTTGGCTGTTGAAGCCTCATTGAGGAGATCTATCACATAGAAATGCTTGAAATGCAATATATCTGACTTGAAAGGCTTTAGGGTTGTTTGAGCTTTCTGGAATTCAGGTTTGTAGTTTCAGATAAATCTGTGTGTTTCCTGTCTGGAGGATGCTATGCCCAGCCATCCTCAGCCAAGTAT